CTAGTGCTCACTTCACTCTCCTCTCGCACTTTGAGTATATGAGTACATGGATGTGACTCTATGCGTGTGTCTGTGTGTGTCTGTGTGTGTGTTGTGTAATGGTGGCTCCGGTTGACAGCCGACTGCTGCGTGCGATACAGTATCGCACTTCACGTATTCCGAGGCCTTGACATGGCAATTACCCCTGGCGTGCATGGACGGACGAACGAACGGGGACACACACACACACATGCATATATACAAAGTACATACAGACAGACGGAGCGGCGGTGATCGAGACTTTTGGGCGCAAGACAGAGGCAAGAGCTCGAGTCGGATTGGGGTGGGCCGGGCGAGATAATAACAATGCAAGAAGAGACGACTACAGGCAGAGGTTAGTGAGGCTGGTGCGAGTAGAGGGTAAACATGTGTGGTACAAGGCTCGACTGTGGGACGAGGCCACTTTTGCGGCGTCCGAAAGCGGGTCACATCGACACCGACCCGACATGGCCCGTGGTATGGCCGGCAAATGTATGGGCGAAAGGAGTGGCCAAGTGGCGCACCTGAGGCCAGATCGTGGAGCTGCGGTCGTCGAGACGACGAGTAGGCCGAAACAGGCCCAGTCGGGCCGGGGAGGAGAGAGAGCGGGAGCGCTGTTATCGAAAGCATGACATGGGGTTACCTGCAATCTGACCTCTACCGGAGGCGGCTGAGCCGAGGCATTGTGTTGAAGTGACGTCTTGAATTATGAAACAAGACGACGCAGTCCGCTGACCCCGGCTGGCTTCGTATTGTGGATAGAGACTGTGAACAAGTTGAAATATTGCCCAACCAGTACATGTCGTCTCCAGCCTGTGCACATGTCTGTGGGTTGGCAGGGGTGGAGGGATTAGGGGGGCCCGTAGTGACCACTACTCCCTTCTTTCGGCGAGCGGGCAAGTTGAGGCGAAGACCAGCGACAAAATGGCAACTAGCCCCGACAAACAATAGATGCAATGGGCTGAGCAAGTTGCTGTTTCGTCGGGTTGTAGAGCAGACGACCACTTCATCGCAGCGCTGGGGCAGAGGGGCGAAGGTGGGAGGAGGACGGTGGTGAAGTCACTTTCGGTTTTTCGGCCTCTTTGCTTGACGCTCGCGAAGAGAAAACACGAACAATGAGCTCATGCAGCAGACTGTGGACATTTTCTTACGAGAAGGTGACTTGCCCATCATCGCTCTTTCATACCTGCCGGAGCACAAGTGTGTTGGTAGGTACTTGCGTGAAATAGGCAACTTGTATGCCGAGACATGGGGCAAGAATGGGGCTAATAAATTGCTGACGACCCGCCGACCCGCGGCCCGGATCGCACATTTCCAACCGATCAAGAGCCTCACCACCGAGAGACTCAAGTGTTTGACCCCCGCCACTTTGTGTCACCAAGCCGAGCGGCGGCACCTGTCGTCGGGTGGCGACCAACTCCGATAGTTGGCCTGACCACCGGACACAAAGGACCTTGTGTCCACTCCAGCTCTGGTCGTGAGGTCACTCGAGCTTGTGTCGGGCAACACCTGTACCTTGCATGACTGTGCGGGACTTGGTTGATGTTACAGTTTGACTCTGGGTGAACCCGAACAGTCGCAATGTCAAATGACAATCAAGCCGAACGGAGTATAGAGTCTCTTGGTTGAGCTCACTTCCATTTCAGAAAAAAGTTTTTGCTGAAAGGATTCGAACGTCGCTCCCACCAGAAGACGAAGGCAGATGCTTGTGCAAGCAATTGTCTTCGATTCTGCTAAAAATGCGCCAAACTAATGAGTCAATTAAACTCACTTACAGTATTTATTCTAACTCGTTTTCACAATTTGGTCAGAGCGTCAGGAAAACCGTCAGGAACGTAGCTAGTTCTGTGTCCTCTGCCATAGTATTTCTGATTTCCAGCTTCGGGCCATTGGCTGGGTACATTCCCAAACGTTTCGCCGGCATCGCCAATGAGAGGTGCCATCTTCAGCGCATAGTTACAATTTATCAAAGTGACGAGTTGACCAATTGTCTGTTCAACCCTAGTGGCATCGTTCCTCGCCCTATTTTTTATCTTTCTGCCTTATTGTGTTAAATCCCTTCCTCTCAACTCCACTTCATATGGCCCATCTATCTATTCTCACAAATTTGTGCAAATGCTGTATGTATATAACACAAATCTATGGGTTATGTGAGTTTTCTTGACCCCATAGCTTGAATAGGGTTGTAAGAAAGATGCAAAGTGTTGCTGAGTTTTAAAGAGTCCCACA